GCCCGCACCCCCCCCCCCCCCCCCCGGTTCCCTCCCCAGCATCGCCGTCTATGGCAGCGTGGACACGGGGACGCAGTGCTTGTTGACCTGCAAAAGCCCGGGCGTGCAACCCGTCCTCTGCTTGAAGCACAGCCCCGAGTACCTCTTTGCGGGGTTGCAGGATGGGACCGTGGCCGCCTACCCCAGGAGCAACGGTGAGGGCAGCCCCGTGCGTGCTTTCGGACAGGCTTTCGGGTGGGACGCCCCAAAAAACAGGGTGCAGGAGGTTCTTCACGCCAGCGAGAGACATGCCGGCTGCTAAAATGGTGATAAAAGCGCCGTTTTTCTTTTTTTTTTTTTTTTTTTTTTAACCCCGTTTTTTCATCCCTCCCCTTGCCGCCCAGGACGGGGGGGGAAAAAAAGGGGGAGGAAAAAAAAAAAAGCTATTTTGCGTTTTGCCAGGATGAATGCAAGAGGGGCTCGGTTTGGGGGAAAACGTGTGGAAAAAGGTCTCAGCGCGGGGTTGGTACCACACCAAAGGCTCTGCTCGGAGGGTGGTTGCTCTCGGGGGCTGCGGGAAGGGTCCGATGTCGGGATGCACAAGGACCCCTTAGAGCTTTTGGCTTTAAAAAATCACCTTTTTCCTGCTATAAACCGAGCTGATCCCCTCCGAACCCCATCCGTGCAAAAGCCCTCTCCTTTATTAGCTTGATTTGGGGTTTATTCTCCCCGGCTTCAGCTCAGCCCAAGGCTGCAGCTTGCTTAGAGCCTTCCTCCCCAGGGACTCCTCGCCTGGGCTGTTAAATACCTTTGCTTCATCGCTAGAGGGTAGGAAAGAGCCTCAAATAATGTGCTGCATTGGCCTATTTTTGGACAAAACCCCTCATTCGCTCTGAGATAACCTGCAGGGAGCAGCACCCAGGCCAGCCGGAGCCAGTAAAGCCACTTAAATTTCATTTTGGGGTGCCGCGCATCCCCTTTCCCACCTTATAGCCAATTAATGAAGTACCTTTAATTTAATCTCCGTTGCATAAATGCCCATCGAAGGTAGCAAGCTGCTGGCAGGGCTGCGGGGGGGGGGAGTTAATCTTATCCCCATCTTTTTGGAAGGAAAAAGCTTTCCCGAAATAGCTCGTTTTAACGTGAAAATTAGGATTTGCTGAAAGGCGGCTCGCTTGCAAACTCCTGTCGATGGGAGCAGAGGTCCGAGTGTCCGAAGGGCTCTTTTATCCCTCGGATCTTGTGGTTTTATTTAAAAAAAACTTGCATTGGAAATAAGAAAAGGAGAGCAATTATCTATTGAAGCTGCTCAGCCGCTGCTGGTGGTGAATTCATCCAAATCCAGATTGGATGCTGTTCACAGAGACACTCCAGATCGGCCCCGGATGAATCGGCTCTGGAGTGTCGCTTCAAGAGCAAATAAATTTAAAAAAAAAAAAAAAAAAGGGGATTTTTGGCTTTTGCAGCGAGGAACGTGCCTGAGTGTTGCAGGTGGCCAGTTGTTTGCTGCTAAAAAGCTTTTTGCACGGGGGCAAAGGGGCTTTGGGGGGGTTGAAGCTTGGGGTGCGAGCTCCCCCCATCCTTTTGGTTGTGGCGTTAAGATGCTCGGAGGCATCCGAGGTGACACTGGGGACGTGAGGGGTTTGCAGCCGACCCCAGCAGCCATTTGGGGGTGATTTAAGCTGCATCAAAAGATGCTTTTTTATTTTTGCTGAGCGTTTTCTCGCCGCCCTCATCCCGGCATCTCTGCTCCAGGGGGGCTGTGGGACCCGGCGGAGCAGCCCACCCGCCTGGCCGTGGGTACCGGCCCCGTGCGAGCCCTCCTGACGCTGGATGAGACCCTCTGGGCCAGCTGCGCCAACCAGGTCACCGTCCTCGATGCCACCAGCCTCCATGCCCAGGTAGGGCGCGGTAGGGAGCACCGCCGGGACCCCTGGGCTGCATCCGCGGGGGGACGCAGCGGTGGCTTTGGGGGGGTCACGCTGGTTTGAGCCCCAAAGGATGCACATGGGCCCGTCCCTGCCTGTGCAATGCCCAAAACAACCTTTTATTGCTCCTTTTTGCTGCTTTTCATCACTTTTGGGTCCCTTCCCTCCGACATCGGGTCACAGGAGGAGGATGCTGAGACATCTCCTGCAGCTGCATAAACAGGGAATGCTGAATAGTTCCTTTTTTTTTTTAAAAAAAAAAAAAAAAACAACCTTCCTCCCACCTGTAATTTTCACATTTAGTGCCCAAACTTAGTTTGCATGTATTAGCTGTCGTAAATCCAGCCTAACGGCGGTGCCGGGGATGAATAATGCATCGGGGACTGGATTCGTTTTCAGTCTCTGATTTTATTTATGACAGGAGCCGGGTGGGAATTTTTGCAGAAGAAAAGTGATGGGGGAGGAAAAAAGTAGAGGGCGGGGGATGCTGGGGGGATGGCGTAAATAGTATTTGATGGAGAGCGGTGGAATAGAGTCTTGGGTCTGCCTGGATGGGACCGGGGACCAGGGAATAAACCATCAGGGAATAAATCCCATGCGGGGTGGGGAGCAAGGGGGAGATCACCTAAAAGTCTCTGTCCACCCCCATTTGATGCAAGTTTTTTTTGGGGGGGTGGTCTATGCCGGTCCTCTCTGGGAAGGGGATCAATACCCGCTCCTCTTTTTCTTTTTTAATATATAAAGCAAACTTTAAAGCAAAGAATGTTTCAAAGCCGTAGGAGAAGTGAAGGCGAAGTCGCTTGCGTGCCGGTTTCTCCCGCAGTGATTTAATCCTTTGATGCTAATATGAGTTGTTATGTTGGGAAATCTGCAGCAGGGGCGATTTTTGATGCAAAAAGGTGTTTCTCCTGCAGTTTGCCTTCCGTGTCTGGTAGGGAAATGCTCCGGCGGGGAGCTTGGGAAGGAGATGGAGCCATCTGTGATCCCCAAATAGCTCTTGCAGGGGAGCACTGAGCCTTTGGGCGCTGATCTTTGGGGTTGGAGGGAAGCAGGAAGGTCTTGTCCCGTCTTGGGATGGGTTTTGCAGATGCATCTAGTCTGGGAAACGAGTCTTTTAAAGAAGGAAAAAAACCTGGAGGGGTGGGAAAGGCTGTATTATCATCTGAAAAAAACCCAAGAGGGGTTTGGAGATGGGCTGGTTTCAGTGTCCTCTGCCCAAGCCAGAGCTGGCGAGGAGGAACGGGACCTCAAAGTCACTCTGGTCCCCTCCCCGTGCAGCTTTGCAGCCCTAAAGCAGCTCCTGGAGAGAGCCTGAGCTAGCAGCAATTTTAGGGAGCAACCCTTTTGATCTCCTTTTTGCAATTCCCCTTTTGGCAGCAAACCTTCGAGGCCCACCCGGACGCGGAGGCCAGCGTCACGCACATGATCAAGGCGGGCAGCGGGGTCTGGATGGCCTTTTCCTCGGGCTCCTCCATCCGCCTCTTCCACACCGAGACGCTGGAGCATCTGCAGGAGATCAACATCGCCACCAGGACCACCTTCGTCCTGCCGGGTGAGCTCCCCTTTCCCCCTCTTAATTGCAATTAATGGGCAAGTTGGGGCGTCACCCCTTAGATGCTTTGCTTTGCTTTATGGCTGTGCTGATTTGCAGAGAAACGGTGCAAGGGATTTATCTGGTTAATGGTGTAAAGGCTGGAGCTTGGACCTCTCGGGTTTCCCCTCATTGATGGCGGAGATGGAGCTGGTGGCACCTTTGCACCTCTGTGTGCATCCATGCATCCCATCTTTGCGCCTCTGCTCCTGTGCGTCCACCTTATCCGTGCACCCCACCCTTGCACATGTGCGTGCACCCCATCCTTGTGCACATCTTTGCACCCATGCATGCATCCGTGCATCCCATCTCTGCGTCTGTGCACCGCCTCCTTGCACCCATCCTGGCACCCGTGCATGCATCCGTGCATCCATTCTCTGTGTCTGTGCACCGCCTCCTTGCACCCATCCTTGCACCCGTGCATGCATCCATGCATCCCATCTCTGCATCTGTGCACCCCATCCTTGCACCTGTGCATGCAGCCACACATCCCATCTTCGCACCTGCGTGCATGCAGCCACACATCCCATCCTCGCACCTGCGTGCACCCCATCTGCGCACCCCGTGCTTGCACATGTGTGTGCATCCACGCACCCCATCCTTGCACCCGTCTTTGCACCCGTGCACACATCCATGCATCCCTTTGCATCTGTGCGCCCCACCCTTGCACCCGTCTTTGCACCTGTGCGCATCCTTGCGTGCGTCCATGTATCCCACTTTGCACCCGTGCATGCATCCCTGCACCCACCTGCATCCCCACGCGTGCATCCTTGCACCCCATCCTTGCACCTGTGCATGCATCCACGCGTGCACCCCACTGCCATTGTCCCATGCACCCCGGTTCCCCCAGCTTACCGTCCAGCACCCTCTCCCAGCCGTGTCCACCCATCCAGCTCTTACCCACCCGGGGCTTGCAAGGTTGTCTCCCCCCTTGTTCCAGCTACGGAGCGACATAATTGCGTAATTAGTTATAAGCACGATACTCGTGTAAGTCGCTTTTTTCTTTTTTTTTTTTAGGGCATGTTAAAATATTTATCACTTCCTTTTCTTCCTGGGCGAGTGAGCGTTGGGTATTAATGCGTTTTTGAACTCGTGCTCCCTCATCCTTTTTAACTCGACAGGTCATTAATAAAGTCCTCCCGGAGAAACCGGAGTTGCATCTCCGCAGATATATTGCTTCGCCGAGTCCGACGCCATGCAGCGCTAAGTCCCAGCGATAAAATATTCATTTGCCATTAGAAGTCTCACTTTTTTTTTTTTCCCCCCCTTTCTCTTTTTATTTATTTATATTTGCAGCGCTCTCCCTGGCGTGGAGAAAGATGCTGCGTGGTTTTGGGGGGCTCTGGAGTGTGTTCCCCGTGGAAAAAAACCACTGGCGATGGGTTATCCGGGAAGATGCTGCTGCAAAGTCGTCCCTCACCCTCTTTGTTCCCCTCTCCCAGGTCAAAAACACGTCCGTGTCACCAGCCTCCTCATCTGCCAGGGTTCGCTCTGGGTGGGCACCGACCAGGGCATCATCGTGCTGCTGCCCGTGCCCCGCTTGGAGGGCATCCCCAAAATCACCGGTGAGCACCCAAAAAAACCCCTCTCTACGTGGATGCAACCTTATTTTGGGGCTTGTTTTGAGCAAAACCCCTCTTTCTTTTTCTTTTTTTTTTTTTTTGGCAGGAAAAGGCATGGTGTCCCTCAACGGGCACGGTGGCCCCGTGGAGTTTTTGGCGGTGGCGTTGAGCACCCTGGCCCCCGACGTGCTAAAGGGTGACCAGGAGGAGGAAGAGGAGGGTGAGGAAGAGAAACCCCCTGAGCTGGATGGCCCCCCGCCTCGGGAAATGAGAAAAAAAGGGATTTTATTGCAAT